CCTCATGAAATCAAAGGAATTCTGGGACACTGTCAAACCTCCTGGAACCAAGGGTTCCTGCTGACATGAGTGTCCTCCTGGAACCAAGGGAGCCCTGAGATATTTCTGAACCTCCCAGAATCCAGGGGCCATTGGGACCCTGCAGAATCTCCTGGATTCAAGTGGTCCTTGTGAAACTGCAGGATCTCCTGGAACCCAAGGATTCCTGGAGCACTGCAGAGCTGATGGAACCAAGGGGCCACTGTCCCACTGCAGCTCCTTCTGAAGCACAAGGGACCCTGGGACAATGGGAAATCTGCGAGAATCCAAAGGGCATTTGGGGACTGCAGGGCCTCATGGAACTAAAGGAACCTTTGGAGACTGTGGAAGCTTCTGGAATTAAGGGGCCATTGGGACATGTGGGGCCTCCTGGAAGCAAAGGAACCCTGAGAATTTCTGTGGGAACAAGTTAAGGCAGCAGCAGCTGCATTCAGTTAATCAGGATCAACAAGGAGTGTTTTGCCCTTGACTGGTGTTTTCCATCCAGAGAGTGCTGTTTGCCAAAGTGGAAACCACTTGGAACGCTCTGCATGGCAGCCTGTGTTTTTCTCTGGTGGCTGAACACAGCCAGCACATGAGGCAAGGAGAATGTGTGGGGTCAGGGCACTGCTTTGGGGCCATGCTGGGAATTCCAGTGGACTAAAAGACAAAGCCCAGGCGCTGTTTCCAAAGGAACCCCAATGAAAGGGGGACATGGAAAGATGGGAGGACAAGTCCCACAATGGAACTCTGTGTGTGAAGCCACATTTTCTCCTTCAGTGACCACAGGAGAGGGGGGAAAAAACGGGGGTTGTGACCCAAAACTGTTCTGGGGGGAAATTGAGGATTGAGGGGAAAATGGGAAAGTGCGAGGAATAGGGAGAAGGGTGGAAAAGGCAGGGTAGTCTGGTTGGTCCAATGGTCCCATGAGGGTCTTTGGGCACAGGGGGGTTGGCAAAGGGGGGTGGTCCCCCTCAGCTCCCAATTTACTGTGGGGTGCTGGGGGCTGCTGGATCCAATCTCAGCCTTGGATTATCCCAACACTTTCAGTTTAGAGGAATTACAGAGGTGTGACTGAACTACTTTTGTCCCCCAGGTTTTAATGATGGCAAATAAAATCTATTGATAGAAATGAATTATTTAGGGATACAAATGATCAGACAAAAGATCTTCATCAGAATTATTTCCTGTACAATAGAAACACTAAAACTACCAGGAGTACAGGATAAGATAGGACAGTGCTCTACACTAAAGCAATTGTTGAAGCAATTCTACTAAAGCTGGCACAAAAGTAATAATTCTTAATCAGAGATGGATGGAACTCCCCCAGACCAATGCTCAGGGGGAGATCTCTGCTCTCAACCTCCAGCAGTGACCTTGGGGGGTCCCCACGCAAGGCAGGAATCTCCACACACCCCCCAGGAAGGGTTCTGTTGGAAGAACCTGCCCCTGGGAAAGGGGACTGGCCCTTTGTGGTCGAAAGGGATGGAGTGACAGTCACTGGACTCCAGGGGTTGCCTCCCCATCAGGGGGTTCATTTGAGGTGGAAGCAGTGGCCAAAGCTCTTCACGCAGTCGGGGCACTTGTAGGGGGCCCTTACCAGTGGGTCCGTTGGTGTTGGGTCAAGCCAGAGCTCTCGGTGAAGCTCTTGCCACACTCCCCACACTTGTAGGGCCTCTCCCCGGTGTGGATGCGCCGGTGGGTGACAAGGTGGGAGTTCCGGTTGAAGCCCTTCCCGCAGTCGGTGCAGCGGAAGGGCCTCTCATCCGTGTGTGTCCGCTGGTGCTGTATGAGAGCTGAACTGGTCTGAAACCTCTTCCCACATTCCAAGCACTTGTAGGGTCGTTCCCCAGTGTGGATCCGATGGTGTTTGTGGAGAGTGGAGCTGTCACTGAAGCTCTTCCCACATTCCCCACACGTGTAGGGACGTTCCCCAGTGTGGAAGTAACGGTGGGTGCGGAGGTTGGAGCTCTGCCTGAAGCTCTTCCCACATTCCCCACATGTGTAGGGCCGTTCCCCAGTGTGGATGTGCTGGTGGGTGAGGAGGTGGGCGCTCTGCCTGAAGCTCTTCCCACATTCCAAGCACCTGAAGGGTTTCTCCCTGCTGGGAGGCTGCTCAAGAACCACCAGCTCAGAGCTCTGCCTCAAGCTCTGGCCGCCTTCCCGGCACAGGCTGGGTCTTTCCTCCTCAGAGCACCCTGGGCTGGCTTTGGAGCCCCTCCTGCGGGGGGATCTCTGGCCCTTTTCCTCCCCGCTGCCTTCCTGCGCTGGGGAGCCCTTCAAAACGGCCTCTCCCACCAGGGTCTCACAGGGGGATTTGTCCTCCGGGCTCTCCGGCCTCAGCTCGGGGCCTGGGCAGGAAGCAAGAAGGACAGGGAGGGGATTTGCCTCCGGCCCACAGGGAAGGCCAAGGACATCCCCCCAACTCCGGCCCCGGCAGGACGGCGGCGGCAGCGGGGTTGTCCTGCAGCCGGGGCCATGCTCGGCTGACAGAGCCAGCACAACACCCGCCCAAAGGGCCACTGACTTCCTCCTCACCTGCCTGGGGGGCCCAAGGCATCTTCCTCTTCCTCGCAGCCTCCTCCTCCATCTGCCCAAGCTTTGGGAAGCAGAAATCCTGCTGGGGGGGAAAACAAGGCCTGAGTGCATTGGCTTGGGGGTTCCTCCTGCCGAAGTCCATCTCTAGATCTTACTGGGCATCCTGTGTCCATAAAAACCTCCAAACCACCAAGATTCAGCCCAGAAAAACCCAAACCACCAAGATTCAGGAAAAAAAACCCTCAGATGAACCCCCCCAAACTGCAAAAAGTTAAGTTTCAGCTGAAAATACTCCAAAATATGAAGATTCAGCCCAAAAATATTCTCCCAGAAGTTCCCCCTCTCTGGTCTCTCCCCTCTGGGATTTGGAGGGTCTCCCCTCTCTGAGATGCTGGGGGTCCCACCTAGGGATGCTGGGAGTTTTGGAGGTCCCAAGGGTCCCTTCTCCTCTTGTAGAGGATTTGTTAGCAAGACAAGGACATATGGATATAGTTAAAGCTATGGATGAGCTGTTGGAGTATAGAACACGGCCTGTCTAGGCCTGTGAGAAGATCTGAGATAGCAAAGCCATGGCAAGGCTACAGTGTTTTTGTGCCTGCTAGTTGGCTGGTAAACAGGGTTGTGATTAGCAAAACAAAAGCAACTAAGAGCCACCTGTGTCAACAATAGAAGGGAGTAAAAGTGAAATCAACATTTAAGCAAGAACCAATAATGAGCTTAGCTTTGCAATATGTATGAGCTAATTATAAAGCATATATTAAGCTGTTAGCAGTGATCAATAAACGAAGTTTGCTGATTCTCATATTGAGCGTCCCTCTCTTCCCTCGTCACGACATCCTCTGACTCTCGCCTTCGAGGTGCTGTGTTCCCAGACATTCCCCCTCTTCAGGTTCTCCACTCTGTTGTCCCAGGGATCCCAGGGGTCCCCACTGTCCAGGCTTCCCCTTCTCTGCGCTCCCTCTTCAGGCTCTCAGGGTTCTCGCAGCTCCTCCCTCTCTCAAGCCTCCCCCGCTCTCCAGGGATCAAGGCATGGGGACACTGAGGCACCCCCACGGCAACCCCACTCCTGCTCTCCCCCCTCCTGTTAGCTCCCCTCTCCCACCCCTTTCCCATCGGCACCCCAAACCCCAGCTCCCCCCAGCTCCCTTTGGGGGTGACCCACAGCCCCTTGTGCTCCCTTTGGGGGTCCCACCCGCTCTTTTCGCTTCTCTCGCCCCTTTCCCATCGTGGCCGCTCCGCTCACCCGACAGCGGCAGGAAGGGCAGGGACAGGGGCGGAGCAGCAACAGCAACAGCAGGAGAACAATCGCCCCCCATCCCACGAGTGCCCGGGAAGGGGAAACTCGTCCCAAATGTCCTGGGGGAGTCAGGACACGCTCGGGCTGCCAGCACAGATTTCCCTGCAAAGTCTGCAGTGAGTCAAGCTCTGGAGAGGAGATTTTGCCCCATGGATGGGATTGCAGAGGTTCCCTCAGGTCCCCAATCAGGAATATACACAAAAGGTCTCCCCCGAAGATTTCAGGGGGAGTGCCCTGTAGGGAGGGGACAGTGTCACCCCACCAGGGCGGGGCTAGCAAGTGGGAGGCTGCTCCAGGGCTCTGCAAGAGGCCTCCTGCTCTGCTCAACCCCAGCACTGCCTGGTACCAACACCCCCGGCTGCCCCCGGCCCTGGGCAGCTCTGCTGCCACAGGCTGTGCCCTCACAATGTGGCCCTGCAATGGCCCTGCCTGTCCCTCACCCGTGGCCCTGCCCACATCCCTGTCCCTTGGCTCTCTCTCTGCCAGCTCAGTGTGGGGCACACGGGCTGGGGGTCCCTCCCAAGCCCCCCGGGCAGCCGGCGTTGGCTGGGGGGATGTGAGGGCTGGGCCTGCTCAGCACAGCCCCGGCCTCGTGCCCAGCGCCTCTTTCCTGCCCCACACAAGAGCTTCCCGGCCCCCCCAGGGCTCCCCTGCTGCTGCCTCTGCTCCTGGCCCTGCCTTTGCTGCTCCCTTGGCTGGGGCAGCGGCTGCAGGGGGGGGATGGCAGCAGCTTCAGCTCCACGGCCCTTCCTGGGGGGAGCTCAGCCCGGGGGGGACGGACAGGGACCTGATGGGGATGGACAGGGGCCCAGCAGGGACAGCCAGGGCCTGCAGGGGAAGGCACAGGGACAACCTGGCCCCCCACACTGCCAGGGCTGTCTCTGCTCCTCCTTGCAGGCTCCGTGGCCAGGCACAGTTTGTGTTCCTGGGTGCCACCAGCTCAGCACTTGCAGCCGCTCAAATCAGCGCCCGCAGCTCTGCAGCAAAGCCCCAGCTCACCTGGCACACAGGGGAGGGACACAGCACCTGCTCGGGGATGGGCAAACACAGCTTTGTGCCTTCCCCACCACGGGGCTCTCCTTCCTCAGCAGCACCTCTGCCTTGCACTTATTCTCAGCCTCACCTCAGGGACAGCTCTGGGCTCACCTCTGGGCCACTTCTCAGCCTCACCTCAGGGCCTGGGCTCAAGGACAGGAACCTGCAGGGAGGGGACATGAGGTGCAAGCTGAGGGCTGCCTGCCTGCACTGGCCTGGGGGCTTCTTTCTCCTTCTACAACCAGCCCACAACTTAGCCTGCTTTGCTAACACCACACATTTACACACTAACCTTGCAGATAGATATGGACAGACATCTCCATCACCCTGGGGATGGAGCCTCAAGCACGTGCTGCCATAGGAATGGCAATCACAGAATCACAGAATCAGCCACGTTGGAAAAGACCTCCGAGATCATCAAGTCCAACCCTTGATCCAACCCTGCCGTGCTTCCCAGACCATGGCACTGAGGCCACATCCACTCTCAACACCTCCAGGGACGGGGACTCCACCCCCTCCCTGCCCAGCCCATTCCAAGGCCTGATTACTCTCTTGGCAAAAAATTGCTTCCCAATATCCAACCTAAACCTCCCCTGGCACAGCTCAAGACCCAGCCCTCTTGTCCTACTGCTGTTTCCTGGCAGAACAGCCCCACCCCCACCTGGCTCCAGCCTCCTGGCAGGGACTTGCAGAGAGTCAGGAGGTCTCCCCTGAGCCTCCTCTTCTCCAGCCTCAACACCCCCAGCTCCCTCAGCCTCTCCTCACCCCACTTGTGCTCCACTCCCTTCCCCAGCCTCGCTGCTCTTCTCTGCACCTGCTCCAGCCCCTCCAGGGCCTTCCCTCAACTCAGGGGCCCAGAGCTGGACACAGCACTCCAGGGGTGGCCTCACCAGCACTGAGTCCAGCCCAACAATCCAACTTCCCTGGACCTGTTGGCCACACTGTTCCTCATACAGACCACGATCCATTGGACCTCTTGGCTACCTGGGCACACTGCCTCCTGTTCAGCTTCCTGCCAATCCACACTCCCAGCTCCCTTTCTGCCTGCCTGCTCTCCAGACACTCTGGCCCCAGCCCGGGGGGCTGACGGGGCTTCTTGTGGCCAAAGGGCAGGACCCGGCCCTTGGCCTGCTGGAACCTCATCCCTTGGAATCAGCCCATGGATCCAGCTTGGCCAGGTCCCTCTGCAGAGCCCTCCTGCCTTCAGCACATCAACACACCCCCAGCTTGGCGTCACCTGCACATTTGCTGATGAAATACCTGGTTCTGCAGCAGCTGCAGATGCTCAAGGGGCAGCAGGACCAAGTCAGGGGCCTGGGGGGGCCTGGGGCGCTTTGGGGTCCAGGAGGGTCCTGGGGGAGCTGGGGAAGGGCTTTGGGGATTGGGGGTACAAACCAGGACAGACCAGGACAGACCAGGACAGACCAGTACCTCCTCACTGCTCCCCAGATCTCTCCTGGAGCTGGGCCACGTTGTCGTGGGACACCTGAGCTCCCCCAGTGCCCTCCCAGTACAGCCCAGTGCCCCCAGTACAGCCCACTGTGTTCCTATCCAAGGGTGCCAGGAGGTCCCTTTGGAGGGGTGGGAAGGGATTTAAGAGGGGAGCTGGGGGAGATTTGGGAGGATCTGAGGGAGTTTGGATGGGGATCTGGGGGCAGCTTTTGGTGCATTTGGGGGAGTTAAAAGGGTTCTTGGGGGGTCAAAGGGATCAGTTGGGGGAGGAGATTAAAGGGAAAAGGGGGGTCAGGGGACATTTGAGGGGGTTAATGGGGTCTCGGGGGGGAGAGGAGTGGCAGCACCATGAGCAGGTGAGTCCAGAAACACCACTGGTGTCCCCAACACCCTCTTGGTGTCACCAGTTCCCCCCTTGACACCCCGAGACCCCCCTGGTGTCTCCCATGTCCCCAGGGCCTCCCATGGCCCCAATTCCTCCCTTGATACCCACAATTCCACTGTCCCCAAACCCCTCCCCACTGTCCCCATTGTCCCCAAATCCCATCCCTGATGTCCCCAACCCTCCATCTCACCCCAGGAGCCCCCACTGGACCCTCTGACCACAAAAACGAACCCCCTCCCCCCATGCCCATAGAAAGGCCAAGGGCATCTGGGGGCTTTGTGGGGCACTGGGTGATTACTGGGGGATACTGGGACACACTGGGGGGGACCAGGGGGCACTGGGAGGGACTGGGGGGTTACTGAGGGATGGTGGGAGGGCACTGAGTGGGACTCAGGAGTTACTGGGGAATTACCAGGACACACGAGGAAACACTGGCAGGTTACTGGGCCATACTGGGGGTTACTGGGTGCACACTGGGGGTTACTGGGTGCACACTGGAGCATTACTGGGCCATACTGGGGAGCAGTGGGAGATCACTGGGACACACTGGGTTGTCACTGAGGGGGTTACTGGGCGGTACTGAGGGTCACTGGGAGGTCACTGGGATCCCCTTACCCGGATGTGGTACATCTCCTTCCCGGACTTCGGGAGGCATCCCCAAGATTCCTTCCCTGTGGGCTGGGAGATCCCCTAAACCCCCCCCCGCTGGGCTTTAGGGGACCCCGGGCCCTCCTCCCTGTGGGGTCTCTGTGTGCTGAGTTTTGGGGGTCTCTGGGGTTCGGGGGGGCATTGGGATTCCCTTTCCCTGGGGTCGGTCCGCCGGGCAGGCAGGAGCGCTGTGGCGGGAGGGGAAATGGCGAACTGCGCGCGATCTCACGGGAGTTGCAGTTCCCTCATGAGGACTCCGCCGGCGCGCCTGCGCAGTGCAGCCAGGGCGCTGGGACAGCCCCCCACCCCCCCGCGCTCTGCCTCTCGGGAACCCCCAAACCCCTCGGCTAAAGCCTCCCGATCCCTCCAGCCTTTCCACCCACAGCCGCGCTCCCCGCAGCCCCGAGCGGATCCCCAGAACCCCGCTCTCCGAGCGCAGCCACACCCACCACCGCCACCGCTGCCCCTCAGACAACATGGCGCTCTGCGCACGCCCCGCCTTTCGAGACCCCGCCGCAGCCAATCAGCGCTCGGCCCGTCCCCGCCCTGTCCCCGCCGGTCCCGCCCTGTCGGGGGAGCGGGGCGGGCACGGCGGGAAAGCGGCGGGGGGGGAAAGAGCGGGTGGAACCCCAAAGGGAGCGCGATGGGCTGGGGGGTCACCCCCAAAGGGAGCTGGGGGGAGCCGGGCTTTGAAGGGACGGTGGGAAAGGGGGAAAGCCAACTCTGGAAAACTCTCTCCTCTGAGATAAGTTGTGCTGCCGAAGGAAATGCTGACTCCAGAGGGGCCAGAGCCGGCGGGGGGTGAGGGGGAGGCAGCGGCTCTGCTTGATTCCGTGGAGTTCTGGGGAATCACAGTGGCCCCTTGGTTCCATGAGGCTCCACAACGACACCATGGCCCCTTGGCTCTGCGAGATTCCACAGTGTCCCCGCATTCCTTTGATTCCATGGGGTCTGCAGTGTCACAGTGCCACTTGATTCCACGAGCTTACACAGAATCGCAATGGGCCCTTGATTTCAGGAGGTTCCACTGTGTCCCAGGGTCCCTTGGATTCCACAAGGCCCGGCAGTGTCACAGTGGCCCCTTGGAGGAGATTGCCCTGAGTCACAAGGGCCCAATGAATTCAGCAGGTTCTGCAGTTTCCCAGGGTTTCTTTGTTTCCATGAGACCCTGCAGTGTCAGGATGGCCCTTGGTTCCATGAGGTTCCAAAATGACTCAGCATTCAGCATTCCTAAGGCCTTGTACTGTCACAATGGCCCTTCTTATCCCATGAGCTTCCAAAATGTCTCAGGGTTCCTTCTGTTCCATGAGGCTCCAGATGCCACAGTGGCCCCGTGGTTCCAGGAGATTCCACAGTGTCCCTGTGTTCCTTTGGATCCATTAAGTCCTTGTAGTGACACAATGCCCTCTTGGTTCCAGGAGATTCCAGAGCATCAGGATGGCCCCTTGTTTCCATGTGGTTCTCCGGTGTCACAATGGTCCCTGGATTTCCTGAGGCTCCACTGAGTCCCAGGTTCCTTTGGTCCCCGTGTCCCAACAGCCCTTTGATTCCAGGAGGTTGCAGAGTGTCTGCAGATCCCTCCAGCTCCAGAATGCCTGGCAGTGTCAGAGTGGTCCCTGGAGTCCCTGGGGTTGCTGAGGGTCAGAATGGTGCCTTGACTGCACCAGGTTCCCCAGGGTCCTCCTCTCAGGGCCCCTGAGAGTGACTCTCAGCTGGGGCAGCTCTCAGGGGTATGCACAGACAGCTCCCCTGACTCTTGGTGCCCGAGGCTGCTGCTGCCTGGCAGGGCTGGGACAGAGGTGACCTGCCAGCCCCTTGCCAGCCCTGGGCCCCCTTGGCATCCTGAGGCACAGCTGACTCCTGCCAGCATTGCCACCCCTCTGCTCCTTGTGTGCCATGGGCTGAGCAGATCCAGGTCACCTCCCGTTCCTCTGCCAACCCCCTGGGTGGGCTCTGGGCTCTGCAGGTCCTTGCCCTGCTCCCAAGGGCTGTGGGGGTGCTTAATGGTCAGGGCTTGGGGTTTAGAGCTCAGGGTGGGGATTAGGCAGAAGCTTAGGCAAGTTTGGTGTTCTGCTGGCCCCCACCCTGCACACTCCCACTCTCAATTGGGCACTGGCATTTGCTTTGCCAGGGCATTCCTTGAGCACATTCCTGAGGGTGACTTGGCTGTGTGAAGCAGAGCACTGAGAAACCCAGTGGCCCAGGCAGCTGCTGCCATGTGGGCACAAGCTCTGCTGCCCAGGAGGGTCCCGTAGTGCAGGGGTTTGCAGATGGCAACGTAGCGGTCGTAGCACATGACGGTGAGGAGGAAAAACTCTACTGACATGAAAAAGAAAAGTAAAAAGACCTGTGCAGCACATCCCTGGTAGGAGATGGTTGTGGTGTCCCAGAGGGACATGGCTTTGTGGTGCAGATGCAGCCCAGGTCTGTGAGGGAGAGGTTGAGCAGGAAGAAGCCCATGGGGGGTGTGCAGGTGGTGGTCGCAGGCTACGGCGCTGAGGATGAGGCTGTTGGCCAGGAGGGCAGCCAGGGAGATGCCCAGGAAAAGCCAGAAGTGCAGGAGCTGCAGCTCCTGCCTGTCTGCGAATGCCAGGAGGAGGAACTGGGTCATGGAGCTGCTGTTGGGCATTTGCTGTTTCATGGCAGAGGGTCCTGTCAAAAAGAGAATCTGAGAATCAGAAAAGGCAGAAAAGGAAGAAAAGACCCTTCTGAGCAAAGCTGCCCCATTTTTCCTAGAAATAAACTGAAATGCATTTCCTTTCTAGGAACCTCTTCTAGGTTGTGCTAGCTGAGGGTGGTGTGAGGAGCAGGAGCTCTGGTCATATGCTGTGTAGAACTCAGCTTTGCTCTGCTGTAGTGGGGACATGGAGCTGGTTTGTGACAGACACAGGGGATGTCAGATGTAACCCACCTTCTATGGACAAGTTCATTTTCATCACTCAGGATTCCAAGGAGTGTGGTCTACAGAACAGAGGCTTAGCATGTCCTCAAAATAGTATTTGGGGTTTTTTTATTTTCCACCATCATCACTTCGGGGGCTGAAATCTTCATAGTTATATTGTTACTGTGGTAGATGTTCATCTGAGGGTTTGAAAAAGCCTCAGTTTTATGACTGACAGTGTGAAGAGATAGGCAAAAGGGCTCAGCTCTCTGAGGCCTGGTGCAGAGCCAGGAAAGCAGCAGTGTCCGTCAGGCAGTTCCCCATCTGCCCTGTGTTTCACCTTCTGCTGCCTTGAAGATGAATTCACACACAGATTAATGTTTAATAAC